GCGAAAAAGATGTGCTGAAACCCACCATGTAGGTTGACGAATATCCACAATTGTCGAGGGGTTTTACAGTTGAGAGAGAAAGAGGAAGTCTATTTAACAATTTTAGTTAGTTTGTAGGGCGCGATTTACAGTTTGGCATGTATCCCAATGTAGAGTACGTGCCCCGCTACTTGTTAGGGTTGATCAAGCTGCGCAAACTCGTGGATGTCTACGTACCCCTTAACAGTGCAGCAAGGTGGCGCGTTTCAATTTACCTGTGTATTTGTTGTATCGGGTGCTTTATACTTCGAAATGCCCAATAGGCCTTCCATCCTTCATTGGCTTTGCACTTCAAAAGTGGCTAAATTAAGAGTGTGCAATCGGTAAAACCATCCTGTAAGCTGTGATCCCGCAATGAGCTGCTGCAAACCGACCAGATGTAACATCTGGAAGACACCTCTATCTAACCCTAGCCAGTCCGTAAGACCTTTATTATTAATACTGGAGGCGTATCGAGTGCTTTCACTGGGGAACGTCACGGTCTACAGCTAGATGGAGGACTCACTATCCTCGCGGACTGCATCCAGTAGGTCTGCTCTCTACCGGCTCAACGGGCTACATCCTGTAAGCAAGAGAAAGAGGAGCAGACGTCGCCGTTCCATGTCTAGAGTGGGGCTGGAGCGGAGGGAATGTGGAGGTACCTCGTTGTGGACCGCTCCGTGGTAGAGATTTGTGGACAGGTAAGGAGCTTCTAGGTCGTGAAGAGACCGTAGGGAAGAGGCTCAGTTGTGTTTTTCCTTCTTATGAGAGAAGTACTCGGAATACATCAAGTTATATTTGAAATTATTGCTCTAGTTCTCGTTCCTACGTCGGCCTGCTAGATACACGACCCCGACACTAAGGAGGATGACCGCGACAAGAGAAACTTCCATAAGGGGCTGTTTCATTTGAGAATAACTGAAATAAAAATAAGAATAGCTAATCTACCCTAATCTTTTTGGAAAATGCTGAGATCTTATTGGCTCAAAAGATTATTCCTTTAATTATCTTTAATCTGACTTTCAGAGCCAGAATTTGGATATTTCAACGGTTTTACTTGTACAAACCGAATAGCTGAAACTTCCAAAGACGCAAGTCGCTTTCCTTGTTTCATTCAGTGATGAACAGCGAGCTACTTGCAGCGGTTGTGTGTGCTTTAATAGGTGCGTTGGAGCTTCTACTGGATGTAGACGGGAGAAGCATGCGAGACGACTACGAGGTACTTCACACGGTAAGAACCGATTTTTTCAGTCGTAATTATGACCGTCGGAAAGATGATGCTAGCTTTCGAAGTGCATTTTGCGTTGGACGAGGATCCTTCGATGCAATTGTAGCTTTTATCGAAGCCTCAGCTAGCAGCAGCATTAACCTCTCCACGCGCAATGAGTTCTCCGTAGGGTAGATAAGATTCTTATGGTCCGTGTGAACCACAAAAGGAAAGCCTAACAGCTTTTTTAATTGTCCTGTACTCGGTTGACTTACTAACATCAAATTTGTGGCAATTTCTAATGATGGTGCTCGATAGTGTTACCGAGGCTTATGGGATTCCTCGATTATATACTATGGGCCCATAATGGATGGAACTGCAAGCTC